TGCCTCCTCCCCACCGACTGAGCGTGTTACATCAGGAATGGGCATTTGTTGTGTGTGTTGCTTACACTTGGTATTTCCATGGATTCAGTGTGTTGTTGCTGCTGGTTTGGTGGAAGATATTCTGCAGTGCTGCCACAAGGAGGCTGATGCGAAATATTCCTGAGGTGGGGCAAGGCATGGTGAGCATGGGATTTATCTGTGAGGATAAAGTACAGACAAGGGGATAGAGTTTGTAGGGCTGCACCTAACACATATCGTCATTGTTGTTTAGTCTGTCCACTACTTTTGTTAATGCTAATTAATATAAAATGACTGGGAGTAGTGAAACTGTCCATCACAAGTTCCCAGAGCACAGGAGACGTGGTCAGATGTCATGTTTCATCCTCCCAATAGTCAAAAACCCAGTCACTCATATAAAACAGCCAAAAGTCCTCACATTAGAGAAACTAGAATGAGAAAATCTCATCAATAAATGACTAAATCGATTAGTGAAATAGTGGACAATTTGCCTTTTGACTAACCTTTTCAGCACTAGAATAATAGTGAACTAGCCTGTATCGTACGCTGGCGAACAGGCTGTGACTCGTTTGTTGTCAGCATACCGCAGATGGGATATTACCTTATTTTAACTCTTGCTAGCCATGCCAGCAGCGTGGATGTCGAGGCTGCTTTGTTGGTCTGCCACTTTGGTCCAAACTGAAAGGGCTGAGCAAATGTCAGGTGCACGATCATAAAATCTGCCTCAGAGTTCTATGTTTCCATCAGGAAATAGAAAGAGGTTGAGACCTACTTGGTTTTCTGGTTCTTTATTAGCAGCTTCTGCTGCAGCAGAGCTCAGTTCACACACAAGAATGCTCTCACAAGATTAACAAGGTCTTTATACAGGAATAAACAGGCGGTAAATCAGCTGTGGGAGAGGAAAGGAGTAAGTTTCAGTAAGCAACAAAGGTTCTTATTAAAAAAGACGCCATGGCCTGGGGCCCAGCCTGCAGTCATAGGGTGTTTGACCATTGCTGCCTTTCTCAACCTCATCCTAGCAAAAGCCTCATTAGCAATGCAATTAACAAATACACATGTGATTAACAAACTGGTTCCACACACTTCGGTGATTAAACTAAGTCCTCTGACTTCGTTTAGCACCATCATCTTGCCAAAATTTTAATTGAACATAATATTTGGATTTTAAAACTTGTATAGCCCACGTCTTTCATCATAGGATAAGGATAATCACCTTTATTGGCCAAGTATGTTACACACAAGGAATTTGTTTCTGGTACAGAAGTGATGGCAGCCATCTGCGGCGCCAACTCAACCGATGGATGGCTCTAACCATCAGGGGGGTAACTGGGCGGTTCAGTGTCTTGCCCAAGGAGACATGGACTGGAGGCACCGAGATTCAAACCTTCAACCTTCTGGTGGGGAGACAACTACTCTACCCACTGCACCACTGTCGCCTCCTAGCTAAAAACATGCAGCTGTTTATCTCATTTGGCCTAAATTCAGTGTGTGTGTGTGTGTGTGTGTGTGTGTTGGCCCAGTTGCTGTAGGCTGCTGACATACAGAGCCACCTTTACTCATCCAGCAGGACACTGAGGATGATGGCAACTACTGTGATTAGCACTGGTTGCCGTGCAACAGTATGGCCTGTTTACAGTCTTTATGCTAAGCTAATGATCTAATTGTACCTTGGGAGTCCAAATATTAAGGCGGTAACATTTAAATGTGGGATTTTATTTGTATTAAGGTATATTTATACCGTGTTATTGTTATTACTGTGTTAGCCCTTAGTCCCACCACTAAGACTCACAGGGTGGTTGCACATGCATCTTCTACTGTGCATTACAACAGTTATACAGAAGACGTCGGTGCTTAACAACCTCCCTCACAACCAGTGTTTGTATTAACATTCAGAGGGATTTTTTTTGCAGATGTAGACAGTGATGTTCTAACTCCTTTCTACTTATCATGGTTTGATGATGTTGCTGATGCGGTGTGAGTGTTTGGCTTCTCACTCAGCGGTGATGTGAGATGATGCATTTTGCTTCTTGACCAGATTACAACATCATGACATCACCTCTCTGACCTCTCAGGATATCAGGAGAGAGCTGAGTCTCACAAACATGATGACAACAATCTGAAGGCTTCACAGCATCAACAATCACATGAAATGAAAAAAAAGGCATTATGGCACTACTCGGTTTTTCTATTCACAACATTAGATGTCCTATGAATTAGTGCACAGATATTAACCTAAAACCTATAAACAGGTGATGCTGTCTCACCTGAACCTGTAGGAATTTTGTTTGTTCACTTGTTTTCAACAGAGACAAGCACTAAACACAACATTTACAGATCATCACCTTCTGACATATTTAACTTGAGATCAGTCTCTTGTTCCCACCTCCAGCAGACACAGATCAACATGCTCCTCTGTGCACAGTGTGTCCGTGCCCCCCAGTGAGCCTCAGCCCAGTGCTCCCTCTCTGTTCGCTCTGTGTTTGGTCTCCACCACCTCCTGAGGGGAAACCTCTGGCTCTGGAGCTGCTAAATGCTCCACTGTGTTCCCCAGCTGCTCTCTGACTGGCTCTGTCTGCTGCTGAGCAGGTCGTGGACAGCAGCGGTTTAGAGCCTCTCCTCTACTCTACTATAAAGCTCTTGAGGGGAACTACACATTCAGCTGTGCTCACATTAGCTGCTGACTTAACTCAGACCTGGTGTGTCCACAGCAGTGTGAACAGACCAGACCAGATGTCCTCAGACCAGATGTGGGCCACCTGCCTATGTGCTCCTAGACCCGATTCCTCTCTGACCTCTGACTGTGCAGCGCCGTCAGAAAGGTCAGATCAGAATCCATGTGGTCATTCTAACGTCTCCTCCTCTGCACATACTGCCTGTCGTCATCATTCGGCGTTGGTCCTTCAGACCCGTAACAATAAACATGGAGGAAAGCAAAGACAGCGACGGGGTCAGTGGAGAGACCAGGATGTTTATGGAGAAGCTTCTGATCAGGCCAAACTGGGAGGAACATGTCGTAACCCGGCAGTCTGGGAAGAAACTGGGCCATTTGACACATGACACATGACCTGGTTGTTATTCTTGTGCACACGTGGCTCACATTTCAGTTACATCTGTGCATGTGTGGCAGTTTAGGAGCTCAGCGGAGCCGGGTACAGGGCCCTGACACACACGGACGGGAAGCAGCGACACAACAAGGTCAGACCTGAACACAACACAAGGCCTATGGTGTATAGCCCAAGTGGTCCTGATCTATGATATGAAATCTTTATAATTTAGTTTGTTCACACTTCTAAAGCATCACAGATCTAAAAGTAAATCTGATTTGGTCCACTGCAGCGGGTAATGTGAACGCAGCCTAAAATATCTGGTCTGAATGTGCTGAACTTTCTTCTGTGCTAGCCGTGGTTTGGAGGAGGAGCCTCCTCTGGTCCTGGGAGGGGTCAGTGCACGTTTACACACTCTGATTGGCAGCAGCTCGTGTCCTTCAGTGGTTAACCTGCAGGTAATTGGTCAGTGGACTTCCCCTCTTCCCTGCCTCTCAGTGACCATCTAAGACTCGGGTTCGACTCCGGGGTTGTTGTTTGTCGCGCTTATCCATACTTCGCCCCGTGTCAAAATCAGACTTACCGGAGGGAGTTAATCGTTACGGGGTCGTCGCTTATTCCGGTGGACGTTTGTTAGAGGAACTGAGTCGAAAACTTACCGGATCTGAAACTTTCTCCACCTCAGGGGACACTTTGTGAATAAAAAAAAAAAATGGCAGACGGTGAGGAGCAGCACGTTTCTTCCACCACTCCCCTGTTCAGCGAGGGGGTACACCACTACCATGCCGAGCTGGACTCCGTGCTGGATCCCGAGCTGCAACAGAAACCAGACCTCTTCAGCGTGGATGATATAGTGGACTTGGTCGGCGGGGCTAAGGACGCCCTAGAGAGGCACAGAGCTGAAGACAGTGCACCACATGAGTTCACAGAAACTTCCTTCGCTCCTCCAGAAGATCCAATAACGTTACTGGAGCCACAACCGGTGTCAGCGCCAGAGGTAAAGAAACCTGAGGTGGAGAAGGCGATCCCAGACTCCACTAGCTTTTCTTTTGTTCCTACGACCCCTTTAATAGCCGAGGAGCCTGAGGTCGTCGCCCCGAAAGCCGAACCGAAGCCACAGGCTGCCCCCGAGCCAGAACCTGTGTCGGAGAGCGACGCCCTCCCAGCGGCTGAACCCCGGACAGCAGCCCCAGCCCCCGCAGAGGCAGCAGAGCAACCTGCGGTGACAGACGAGCCACCAGCTCCAGCATCATGTGAGTATCTACATGAAAAAATACGACTAAACGACGATGTAACGTTTTGTATTTAATTGAAGCACTTAAATAATTGTCTTTATCATCAGCATGAGCGAATTTCATCCGACCTGCGTCCTCACGGTATTTTTCCATCTTTTTAAACCGGTCTCTGTGCATCTGAACTGGGTTAGCATTGTGTGCTCATCCAGACATAGAGATGTAACGCCACCTTTGTCATTTTAACCAACTTTGTTCACCTTTATACGATTAATGGTGTTAAACTGGGGTCATTTTGTGCGGATTATTAAAACACTTGTGTCGTTCCGTCACGGTAAATGTTAGCTGGTTAGCTCCAGATGCTACCCCGAGGGGAGCGGATAGTCTTTCACGGTGACCTGCTGTCTGACACTGTAATATGAACGGGGAAATCACACTTTTGACTAGAGGAGTATATTCAGTGTCAAAAATAAATCCATGTTCGCTGTTTTGGAGACTTCAATGAGCTAACTGCTAGCTGGTTGACCTCGGCTTTGCTGTGCTGTAGAGACCGGGCCCACCTGTTTTGACCAACAGACGACAGGAACGTAACGTGAACTGTTGCCTGGATGAGCTGGCAATTTTGCGCCATTTAGCCTTCAGCGATGTTTTAACAGCTCCCATTGACATACCTCCTGTCGTGTGTTTTAAAATGGGTTTACATGAATATATCTAATTCATTTCACCGTTATATGTGTTATTGTGCCAGACTGAGCAGCGCCCATCTGCTCCGTGACGCTAGCAACAACGCTAACCGTAGCTGCTAATTCGAGCTCCATTATCGGACCCTGGCTTTTTGCTTGCCCAACAGAGAGCAGCAGCGGCGGCAGGCTGTCAGGTACGTGAGCTGCACCATTTCCGTGTAATACAAACTTCAGGAACTGGTCCAACACAGCCGAGACTGAGGTTCCTCTTTCCAACACCGGGGTTGACTTCAGCGCTAAGCTAACATTGCAACAGCACGTTATTAACGTGAAAACTAGTCATTACAGTTACAATCGGGGCGAGACTATGTCAAATTGATGATTGAAAGTGGAAAGAAGGGCAGGAGATCAGACAAGGACCTGTCCGACAATGGAATCAATGGCATCTAACCGATAAAGCTGTAAGGCAGAGATTAGTCACAACAAAGGAATCCGCTCTGCGTCCACTCCCTGTCGGCGTCCCTGCATTTCCATATTACTACCACACTCAATTTTGACGCCTTAAATGAGTGTTTTCTCTTTTATTTTGTTACTCAGGCTTCAGGCTTCAGTCTTAAACCCCCTCCCCCCATTTCCACCCAAACCAACACCCCAACTGTAAAACGACTGCGTCAGACAGGCCCGTGTCTCCGCGTCACTGGTCCGAATGCTCCTCAAGTAGCCTTGTGGGGGTTTTTGGCCTCATGGTGATTCCAGGAAGTTCATATTCGGAGCTGAAGCTGCTGCTGTTGTTTGCTGAGCTGTAGCAGGTAAACAGGCCTGTGCGTGCTCCTCCAGGCAGGAGCAGCAGAGAAGCAGGGTGGGGCTGCTCGGTTAGGCCTCACACGGAGGTGGGGAAACCATGAAATCCAGTTAAAGCTCCGCAGTCTCCTGTGTGAACAAAAGACAGCTATGTTTCTTATCTGTCCACCATTAAGGCCCATTATGCTATGATTGAGTTTGCTCTTCATATTTGAAATGAATGTTCTCTTGTCCATTACTGTAGCTCATCTTCCTGACTTCATCTCTCTCAGACTTCCTTTTCAAAGTGAAAGTGGTTTTATATGATCAAATGTGATCTGTCCCTGTCTGTGCATATAGCCAGGTCAGGCTGAAGTCTGTGTCGACTGGCAGCATGAGGTGGTTTTGACTCGTATGCAGACTGGTCAATTTCTGTTGGATTTTCCATGATGTTCAGATTGTGCACAGTTTTGTGCACCGAGGTGTTTGGCATTGTTGTCTTTAGTAGAACAAAGGAAACAGAGGGAGAGAACTAGAAGGGTTAGCTGCAGTTATTTGGAGTGCAAAAGTACAACAACATGTGCAGCTCCAGCTTCACACCTGGGAGGATTTACTGCTTTTCTTTGTCTGGTATTTTGATAGCTAACTGGTATTTTTGGGTTTTGTCAAACAAAACAATGTATATGAAGACAAATCAAGAACATAATAGGCAGTAGTGAACACTGATACCTGTCTGGTAGGAGGGCTGCTACCAGCTGTCAATTAATGTGCAGGATATTTCCTTTGTTAATCGTTTTGTCCGTAACCCATTAGAAAAAGCACCACTGTCCAGGGGCTCAGGCAGATGTCCTTAAATGTCTTGTATAGTGCTTTATCAAGTAAATCACTTGATTAAATCAATCAAAACATTATTTATATTGCAATAATTCAATTCAAAGGTGACTGATTATCTGATAAGATGGAACAAATATGAACACAAAATAATGAGGCTAATGCACAAGAAATGACAAATTAATGCAAAAGTTTCAAAAGCATTAAAAAATAAAATGGGAAACAACATGAGGTGATGAAAAATGCATCTTAAAATAACTGCTGTAAAATATTTTATTCATAAATCAGACAAAAAAGGTAGGTTTAAAGTTTCTGTGTAAAATGTCAGTACAACAGCTGCTCTCAGTAAAAGTACTAATACCACACTGTAGAACTACTGTGCACTGAATAAAATATTTGGTCAATCTTTAATTGTAAAGCAACCAGAGCAGCAGAAAATCCTCATTTTCTTGGGTAAAAGTTGCCTTTCACCACCAGCTAGCCACGGCCTACAGGGGAACGGCATTTTAAAGCTGGGTGAAGAATACCCTGTGGGGCCCAGTGTGTCTCCCTTTGGGTTTCCTTAACGCACAGAAGCTGTAATTAAAATATCTCAGCTGAGGAACTTTTAATTAAATGCAGATTCGGGTCATCCACGGTTACCATGTCAGGTGAAGGTGATTTACATATTAGTTTCTGTAATGGTGGTGATTTGTGCCTCTTCTCCTGGTCTTCCTCCTCTGGGCTCACGCACCGACTCTACTTACTTTCTGCTTCTTTCTCTCCTTTCTTCCACAGATGTACCTTCTCCTTCTAAAGCTCAGCCTCATCCTCTGATGCACTTCCCTACAGGCAAGTCCTCTCTGCTCGCTGTGTCCTGTTGGCTCATTTCCTTTCACCACTTCTATTGTTTGCTCCCCAGTTTGTCATTCAGTCACTTCCTGTAAGAGGCAGCAAGTAGCCCACTGCATGTGAGAAGACGATTTACATTTTTGTCACCCATAGTTACACAAGACGCTTGTGGATTTGTAGTCTCTGAAACACAACCTGATGTTTGTCATTGCTCATGTTTGTGTTTCATTGTGACTCACATGTGATTGCACTTGTAGAGCAGACTGACATGAACCGAACCAAGTAGTTTGTAGAGGAATAATGATTCTTCTCAGTGACCAACAGGCCTGGAACGACATTCGTGTTGACAGAATTGATTTCGCTTGACAATATTTTGAAAACATTGTATGAGAGGAATCATTATTTAGCATCACTTAACAGTTGTGCTTGAATGACGCACTGGGCATAGTCTGTTGGCACCAGACCCGGGGCGACAAATCATCCTACCACCATGTGGTAAACAAATCACCAAACAGATTCAGCAAAGTGTTGACTGTGGCAGGTAGTCTCTGTTCTGCATTTGACCACACCTACCTGTGACAGAGTTGCATTACACTGTAGTGATTTAAATTCCCACCATATTAAAGGGTTGCTTTATTTTCAGCTACATCAGAATAAATTTTATTGGTCAGGTGTGTGGGACACACAAGGACTCCGACTCCGGTCCAGTGGCTCTCAGTCTGTATGTACAGTGTTCTTCCATAAGGTAACGATTAAACTAGATAAGACTGAGAGAACAAGAAAAGGAAAATGTGTGCAAACAAGAAAAAGAAATGTCCATTAGAAAAACAAAAATAAGGTACTCATAAAATATGTGTATATACATATTTTCACATGTGTTTCATCTCATTGCCTTCATCACAGTCAAAGGTGGACTCTAATGCATTAACCCTGATTAAGGCTGCAAGCTGAAACAGGGTCATTTGTGCTCAGTGCTGCTGTTGCTGGAGTTTTGACCCTATAACAGGGTCCTCCCTTCATGTAACTCACAAGTATGTAAAGTTGTACCAGAGCCCCTGAGCTCCTAGGGATGCCCACCACTGCTTTTCTTGTTGCTTTTAAATCTCTCCCTGCTCGACCTGCTCCTACTCAGCTAAATGAAGGTTCCTTTTCACCAGGAAGTTCCTGTAGGCTACTTTTGTTGCTGGGACCTAAAGTCCAAGAACCTTTCCCTGGGGTAAAGGTCACATGAGCAGATTGTAATTTGAGTTTCCACAGACCCAGGAAGAATACCCCCGGAACTAAATTTAGACTCTGGTTCTTCTGGTGTAAACACAGGTAGAGGAATTAAATCCCACAAAAAGGTCTTGTCCCCCAGGAAACAGGGCTTTTGACAGGTGCATGATTACATTAAACACCTGTCATTATACTGTACTGTGAACTGACTAGCTTTTTTTTAATGTACAGAACAGATGTGCAGGAACCGTCTATCAGCCACAGCCAACCTTTTGGCATGACTTGTCTGGTCAAACTAGGACTGTACGCTAAATCGTTTAATGAGCATGATTTAGATCCCTGTGCAATCTCGGGCTCACCTCACTGATTCTGCTGTGTTTGCGTTAGCATGGATATGCCTTGCATCTAACCAAGTGCTCCCTTTTCCTTGTCAAAAAGGAGCACAGAGATTGCACATGGATCTAAATCACACTCACAAAACGATGAATCGAGCAGCCCTAATTCAAACCTTCCTCAGAATGTCTTCAGTAACAGTTCTACCCAGGTGTGGTGGGCACTGTCAGGAATGGAGTGTGTCTTTGATATGTACTGTATTGCATTCTCCCTCCTCCCTCTCTACTCAAGCACTTGGGCAGAAGGGTGATTCCCCTGCTCCCATCTCTCCTATATCCCCTCTTCACTCCCCCGACTCTCTGGAAGAGCTGTCTCTGACCGAGAGTCCCAACCAAGCCCCTACTTCGGGATCTGCTGCACTCTTGGGCTCCTTCTCCACCGAATCCCCCACTACTCATTCCAAGGACATGCCTTGGGAGGGTGAAGAGGGTGACTCTGGACCGGGCCGCAGTAAGAATAAGGAAGACCTTCTAGATCCATTAGCTGGTCCTTACCTGAGTTTAGGGCAAGACCCAGGGCCTCATAATCCATGTGAAGACAGCGGAGTTTCCTTTTCACCAGAGGAGAAGCTGATTAGCTCAGACAGGTCCTCTACTGGCCCCTCCCCTGTGAACCCTCAGATGATGGTCCCTGAATCTCAAATTGCCTCCTCTAACCCAACAGAGCACTGGGATTCACCACTCCTAGCATCTGAAGACAACTCCAAGGTCTTAATGGATAGCTTCTCGAAGGACACAGCCCCCATTAGCTCTTCCAGGTATGAGCTGGACCTGCACAGCAACGAGTCTGATGAAGATGATGACTTGATGTACGAGGTAAAGAAGAATAATAACCCATTTGAGGGCTATTCCCCACTGGCAGACAGTGGCTACTCCCATTTTGGAGATTCCAAGTCCGATAGCAGGGCCACAAAAATTTCCGAGAGTCCAACCCCGGATCTGGTCCAGTATGGGCAGACTGGAGAATCCCAGGACAGCCCACCATCTTTCTTAGAAGAGGGGAAAACATTTGAGATAGGCAAGATGGCTTCTGACTCACTCATGCAGTCTGTAAGTGAGTTTTCATCCGGTTTTAAAGAAGATGATGAAGAAGAAGAAGAACAGGAGCTTTCTCCTCGACCAAAATCACTTCCAGACATCCTGAAGTCTTCCCCTCTCAACCTCAACTCCGAGAAAATGGACTCTGGCTCCTCTGAGGGAAGCCCTGAGGAACAGAGTCCCATCCTAGAACGGAGGATGATGGAGTCACCCAACCCTCCAATCAACCTGTCTGCTAACAACCCATTTGCTTTTGATGCTAAAGTGTCCCTCCTGAAGGAGATGGCTGAGGAGATGGACGTGAAAGTGGGCAACAAAGAAAAAGACGAAAACAAAAGCTTTGGTGCATTCGATCTTGTAAAAGAAGCTGAGGAAACTACTCCAACTAAGATCAAAGAAGAGGAACCTGTCAAGATTGAGCAGAAAGATTGGTTTTCCAGCCACGATTCTCCCAAAACGATTGAAAAGTTTGAGCCACTTGACTTCAAGAGCAGAAAGACTCCAGCTGAGGATTCAGACTCTGAGTCGCCGACAGCAGACTCTCTGTCTCCTGTCTTGGAAGCCATGGCCAAAAACCCTGCCAGCTTCCAGGTGGAGATGGAGAAGAAGGACCTCAAGATGGAGGTGGAGGAGCCAGAAGTGGCTGAAGAGGTCTCTGAGCATGAAGTGTCCTCGGAGGAGTTTGAGTTCATTGAGCGACCCCCCAGGGGTGTTATCGACGAGTTTCTTGAGGCTCTGGATACTTCCAAGTTTGCCTCCTCCAAGGCTCCAGAAATCCCTATGGATGATGATCTGACCTTTGGGCAGAAAGATGTAGCTCCGGTTTCTGCTCCACCTGTGTCAAAAGTAACCCCTCCCCCAGAGGTCAAGGAAGAGGTACCAAGTCAGAGCTCCTACTGCCTCCTGTCCCAGGCCTCCCCCCAGAAGAGCAAGGCTGAGCTGGAGAAGCTTGACGTCCAGCAGCCCCCAGCCCAAGCTCCGCTCACTCATTCTCCTGTCCAGAAACCAGAGGAGGCAGCTGCTAAGAAGAGCGGGGAGGGCAGCAAACTGTTCAAGATGCCAAACCTGAACATACGAGCAGGTAAAAAAACAAAAAAACACAGTTCTGGCATGGTCTGGCATGGACCCCCCTCCCCCCCTCCATCCTCCTCAGTTTTCACTGGCACTTCCATCAGCATAAGTTTCATCTTAACTCTTTTGTTCTCCTCAGTTATTTCTCACCAACCAGTTGACAAGCAGCTTCGTTTGATCCCATCACTTACTCCTTAGTGTCACTTTCCTTTCTCACGTCATCTCCTGTTGTGTTTTCTTTGACAGTTAACCCTTGCATTTTGTAGTGTCTGTTTTAATTTGTGTTGCTGTGTTTCATTGTAGTTTGACCTTTGCTTTTGCTGCATGTTCTGCATTTCTCTGGCATTAGGATAACATTATTAACATAATTTCTGAAGCACCAGATCATTTGGTTTATTTTAAGATTTGGTAAGTAAAATTTAATGTTCAGTTTTATTTCTGCTCTGACAACCTGAACCTCTACAAAATCACTTATTAAATTCACTTAAAAAGTACAGAATATTGTCTAATATCTTGAGCAGAGGTGAGGAATCATGGACTACAGGCCTGAACGGACATGTGACCACCTACAAACTCTCCTGCAGCCATTTCCTGTTGCCCACTGAGCATTTTTGCTGTAGGATTGGCTTACCGTATTGTCTGGTTTTTAGCTTCTCGGCACCACCTTATCGACCCCATCCGCCACTAGCAGCCACACCCTCTCACTGAATGACTAAGCTGCTGCTCTGGTGATTTTCTGCAGCCGAGGCCAAATACTGAATATCACAGTGACAATCTCTGTGCCAAGTAACTTGAGCTATGATGACATTAGAGGGTGTTGAACTTCCTGTCCACCCAGTACTCTAAATATTTACCTAACTGGGTTATTTTGACAAATGTTAGCTGGTATTGATATAAGAAATCAAGAGATTAATGATTATGAAATATCAAGTGCCAGTACTCTGGTATACATAGCGTATGGACTCAGAAGTTGTTCACCTTTCTGTCATACATTAATAAATTATGTGAACCAGATACACAGCGTTAATGAAAATGATGGTTAGTTGCAGCCCTATGGAAGATCTGTCCGCAGGTAATACATGCTGGTTTTGAATTGATTGTGCGGCTGTGGCACTGGTCTTTAGTACGTCAGTGAGGTGGTGTGGACTGGATTTTGTGGCTAAAGTTTCATGTAGACATGAAACACTGAAAGTTCACCCAAGTGGTGGAGAGAGTCTGATTAATAGCCTCCGTGATGCTGCTCCCCTGTGTCTAATATCCAGAGCAGGCACTTGTCAAAATGCCACAAAAGATGGCTTTTAAAAGTGCATCTGGTCTGCAGAACCCAGTGTTTCTGCTGCATCCTTCCTGGGCCCAGAGGTAATTATCTGAGGATAACACTGTGGTACTTCAGAGAAGGAAGTAGCAGGTGGATGTCGCCTCCCTCAGGTCATTTCTCTGAAGACGACGCTTAGTCTTCATTTTAATAGATGACTCAGTTTTCTTTAAACTAATACTGATCAGTTAAGATTCACACACTCACACACACACATTGATGCCTCCACACAGCACTGTGCACGTCACAAACTGCTGCTGTGTAACTAGAGCAGCAGGACTTTGCTCTGTGGGACAAGCCTCTGTGCGTGTGCTGGAGGGATCTCCTGCTAATCACAGCCTCCTCCTCCTCCCTGCATTGCGACACTGGCAGACCCGCACAAGCTTCTCTGACCCAGAAAACACTCGGCAAATGTTCTTCATTGTAGGAGTTGAGGTGTGGCGCTGCAGTCTGATTGGCCCGTCACGCTGGGAGCAGATAACTCTGTTCATTTTGATTTGTCATTCCAGCTTCTCCTCTGATCACATCGCAATAATTTGAGACCTTTCTTTACTTTTCTGTTTTCCAATCAGTTTATTTAAAAACACAAATTCCTTCCATGGATGTAGGTTATGTCTTAGATGGATGTCGGAGGAATAACTGCAGCACTTCAGCATATTATTTCTTACAGATTATTCACCTGTTTGATTTGTTTAGTCGTCGGGTCTGTAAGATGTGAGAAAATGCATCCTTCAGTTTATAATGTCTTGTTTCCTCTGACCAACAGTCCAAGAAACAGACATTCAGTTTACAGTAATATAAAACAGAAAAAAGCAGTAGTTCTTGGCAGGAATTTGTGTAATAAAGTATACATTGATTTATTGAAATGGCTCTGTTAATCAGCTATTAGATTGATTGAAATTGCTGCAGAAGTTCTTTATGGAATCTGTTAAGAAGCCCGTCAAATAAGCTTAACCCTTTCTTTTTGCAATGGGCACAAAGTTGATTTAAGTCAAGATTCAGGAAGCCTGTCACAAGCTGCCAACAATCATGTAGAAGCATTTTTTTGTTGATAAATGAAAAATGTACTGATTTATCAACATGAATCTCAGCAGTACTTCAGACCAACCCCAACAATGAGACAGGTCTTCAATCGACTGACTTCACCTCAGCGGGTTCAGCCTCTGACCTGGATTATTCTATGAGTAACAACTGGGTTAATTTCTCACATTGTATATTACATATGATGGAAGTAATGTGAGAGGTTGCCAAAGTAATTTTTGTCCAGTCTCTCATTTGTTAAAAATCAGCCTTTGACATGAAACAACTATTTTAATAGAGCTAGTAAATCAGCAGTTATCTAATTATATGTTCAAATATGAGTCATGCAGCTTCTGCTTTTATGATGCCAAACTGAGTTCATTTTTTTACAGTACTTTACCTTTATTTTGAAAGGGAAATGCATAACAAAGTGCCCCCAGTATCTGACACGGTCATTGTAGTCCACAGTTTTCTAAATGC